CACTAAAACAATTTCTTGTGTCATTTTTTTTTATAAAATGCCATAAAATTGATGTGACATTTCTTTATTGAAATACAGCTAGAGCCTTATATGTTTGTGGTTCTGTGACATTTTTCTAAAATGTGTCATCAAATATTATTTTTGTGGCATTTTCTAAAAACATGCCACTAGTGTAGTACCACTAAAGTGTGTTTTTGTTATAGTGGGTTCTTTCAAAATACTTGTCAAAGTAAAAATTAGTGTCAAATTTATCCTACATCCTCTCAGACTTGGTCTAAATACTTTAGAGGGTACTCATTTATTATCAATTGATTTTGCCTTACATGTTTTAACATAGTATCAAAAGTGGGTTTTTAGTAGTCTCTAGTGGGTTAAGCTTCTGCCCGAGTCTAATCTCTTATCTTTCATCTCCACATCATCTTCATAAGCCACCTAAGTTTGGTCTAAATACTCCAAAGGCTACCCCACTCATTTTTAATTGATTTATGTTCCCAAAACACCCCTTAGTCTGTTTGACCAAAATCTTTATGGTTGTGTTTGGTTAGGGATTTGAGAAGGAATTTAAAAAGAGAAAAGAAAAAAAAGTGTGTGAAACTAGATAAAATGTAGATATATTTTATTTATATTTCACTTACTTTTTTTTTTTTTTTCAAATCTCTTCTCAAAGTTCTCAACCAAACATAGTGTTAAAAAAATAACAAACATGCATTTACTTCTGTAGTTTATGTCATGTGTAATTTATGTTTTATTATTTTAGAATAAAAATATATTTATGATTTATGCATTAAATTGCATATATTACATTTAAATTACTAGTAAATATGAAATACTTTCAATTATGTAAGGGGTTATGTACTTAAATTTCAAATATCAACGGATAATTCACATATGGAGTAAAGTATACGATTTAAAGTGAATTTTGTTTTTCAAAAAAGATAATGAAAATATTTGTAATTTACACAATAAAATTCTTTATATACATAGATATTTTAATTTTTTTTTGCGTAATACTTACTTCACAAACCACAAGATTGTTTTTGTTTATTTTAACAATAAAACATTATGCACACATTGACCAATTTACAATGGGATAAAATAAAATTTGTTTAACTAAAATAACTAGCAAAATTCCAGAAAAACCTCTTCGGGCAGACTAGTCTGTTGACTAGCCCCAATAGTTTTGTGAATAGTGTGACTAAAAAAAAGTATAAAATAAATTAATAAATTAAAATATCACATTCATATCATAATTATTATTTTTTTACAAAAAAAAAATTGAAAATATTAAAAATTCTTCCTAAATTAGTTAAAAAGCTAAAAAAAATTAAATAAAATTTTTTTTCCCAAACGAACCATGTTCAGCAACTATTCACTAGCAATTTACTTTTTTCTTGTTAAATAATTTACTCTTTCCTTTTTTTCTTTCTTATTTTATCTCTCACAAAAATATTAAATAAATATTTTAAAACAAGTTAGCTAGAACAAAAAATATGGGTGCCTCTATTTACACACCACATTTCATCTCAAGATACACCACTACTCAAGGCACACCTTTAGTAATTTGATAAATAAGAAATTTGTTCAATACACACTACAATCTTCTGTTTTTACTCGTATTCACACACCTTACCCACAATCTTACATCTTTATCCTTATTCACTCACACACCGCACCCACGATCTTCAATCTTCCATTTCCTTAAAAAAATTTATTACACCTTTATATTTCTAGTCAATTACAATTTTAACCTTTATACAAATTTCTTAATCCACACAACACAAATTTTATTACGAGTTGCAATGTCAGCAGTGAAGGAAAAGGCAACGCGAGTTGCTGCCATGGCAAGGGCACAAATGGATTGGGGATGGAAACAGAAAAGGGAATGGTATCGGTCGAAGGGTAGCGCGCGGTAGAAAGAGGTAGGATGGCTGACGGCAACGGTTGATAGCGGCGGTGACGGCTGCTGCGGGGTAGAGTTAGGATTAGAGTTATGGTTATGGTTAGAAAAGATGAGGATATTTTGGAAATATTCGAAAATTGATAGTGTGTATTGAGTGAAAAATAAAAAATCAAAATTGGGTGTAGTGTGCAATGAGTAATTGGTGTGTATTATGTGAGGTGTATATCATAACCCTTTATCCTTTGTGATCATTTTACATTAGATTAATATTGTAATAAAAAAATAAACTAATTAATGGTGTAGTGTGTAAATAGAGGCACTCAAAAAATATTGTTAGAGTGCATATTAAAAAATTAATTTGCGAAAGTAATATGGAGATTTTTTTTTTCTAGATATTTTGACTAGATACATCAAATGAAAAAAAATAATGATAATTAAGGCGAGCAGGTTCATCACGTTTGTTTCCTTTGGTGGACAAAATGATAAAAATTAGATAGGAATTTCTTAAAAGATCAATTATTTGTTTCGTTACTCATTAAAATTTTGAACATGTAAAAGTAATTATTCATAATTTTGTTTTTTTTTATTTCCCTTCATAAATCTCATATCGAAATATATTATGGGTTTGGTTTTCTCAAATTATCATATCAACTTGAAAGAGTATTTGAGTTTGATAAACCCATTTTGAATCCGAGTTTAGTGATTCAAATCGTTCATTTTTTAGGACACATTGAGTAAAACATTCATAAAAAAAATTAAAATTATTACACATCGGTAACTTTATGCTTGAATCATCTTTATTTCTCAAAAATGAATGACAAATGTAATTTCAAGAATAACCATTTATTTTTTGTAATACAAATGTGATTCAAACATATATTTACTGATATCCGATTATTTTAAATTTTTGTATAAATATTCTACTCAACGAATCCTATAATACGCTCGAACTAACTTTTGATTGCTCGGGCGATCTATTTGAGGTCAGCCACTTTAAAAGTCACTTATGGCCCACTTTTCCTCATTTTTTTTAGATCTCTCTCTCTCTCTCTCTCTATCATTTTTGAGCTTCCAAGCTCTTTAACCCTTGATTTCATCTATTCCTAAATATCCTTGACCCCTAGTTTCATATACCAAAACGTAAAACTCGGCGAGGATTTTGATTTAATTTGAGCAAATCGTATTTTTGTCGCCGTGGATTTTTTTGGCTTTTCTTCTCTTTGCTTCGAGAAGTAGGAATTTCCTTACTCATTTTCAACACCTCGTTATAGATAGACATATGGTAGTTTTTATTACATTAAAAGCATATTTTCCTATGTGGTTTTGGAAAGGCATTTAGGATTTTGAATTTTTAGAGTCAAATAATCATGTTTTGGGTTGGTATGGTAAATTGGGAGGTAGTTAATGACGTTTATGTTAATAGTGGTGAAAACCTTAATTTGTAATTAAGAGTTCAATAAAACGAAAGGAATTAAGGTTAAGTAATTGTTGGGTTATGTGTTTACAATAATGAATTAGAGTTGTAGTTGCTAAAAAGAAGTTAATCTGGTCTTGTGATTGTTTAGTTAATGTTATATTGTATTGGGTTGTGGTTATGTCTCAACAAATTGGGATTTTGACAATTAAAAAAGGGATTTTGGCTAATGGTTATGAGTGTTGGAGATTTGGAAAAACGAGTTTGGTTTTGAAAACAAAATGATGTTTGTAACTCTTTTGTGAAATGATTTCACTAAAAATGTTAATGATTTGAAATTGTGGAATCGGTTGTGGATTTAAGTTACGAGAGTTATGTATTTAATTGTTAGAGATTTTGTCATTGGTCATTGGTGGAAGATGACATTACTATTGTTGAATAGAATACATGTATGTGTTATATTCGTAGATTATCAATGTAATCTACAATGTTGTGTTATGAGATTAGGGGTTTGTTTCCCGTCGGGTGAGGTCGGTAAAGCGTGGCGCCGTGACAGAGATTCCTCTCCTTTTTGGTTTGCACCCGGTAAAGTGTGAATTGTGGTCTGTTTCCTTTCAGGTGGGGCCAGTAAAGTGTGGCACCTTGACAGAGGTTCCTCTCCCTTCTAGTTTGCATCTAGTAAAGTGTGATGTGCGAGTCATTCTCGTCCGGGTAAGGCCGGTAAAGCATGTTGTGTTATGTGGGTTATATCATTAGCCCTCTATGCCTTGGGCCAGTAAAAATGGAAGTATGTGTTGTTTTCCGTTATTCACATTTAGATACATATATATGTATATATACATATATATATCTAAATGTGAATAACGGAAAACAACACATACTTCCATTTTTACTGGCCCAAGGCATAGAGGGCTAATGATATAACCCACATAACACAACATGCTTTACCGGCCTTACCCGGACGAGAATGACTCGCACATCACACTTTGCCAGATGCAAACTAGAAGGGAGAGGAACCTCTGTTCCAATGGGTCTAGCCCATAACCTCTCCCTCTAAAACACTTGGGTACCCCTTGGGGCACACCCCAAGTATCTCACCCTAAGCCTTATAAACCCTTTCAAAACTTCCCACCAAATCAATGTGGGACAAGCCAATTTACCACCTTAAGGAATTTCCACCAAAACTCCATTTTCATGGTGCACACTTTGGCTTCAATTTCCCATTCACTCGGTAATGGTTTTGAGCAACCAAATATACCACGTGAATCACAACGCGGCATAGAACGCGTTACCACTTTGACCCGAGTAAATCGATACTCGGGGCCCACCTAAAAAATAGACCAAACTAGAGGAAAAATTAACCATTTCCAACAGTTTCAACTAGATATCTTGAATTTGTCTTTTAATAGGCTACGTGGACAAGTTCCAATACAAGGAGTGTTTCAAAATACGGGTGCGATTTCAGTTGTAGGAAATAATGATCTTTGTGGAGGAATTGCTGAATTAGACCTTCCTCCTTGTCCGTCCTCCAAATCAAGCAAGAGTAAGTTGTCTCACAAAATGATAGTGATCCCAGTGGTGGTTGGCGTTGTGATATTTTTATGTTTGTTAGTTAGCTTCTTTATATTTATATTTCTTCAACGACATCGTGTTTCAAAAACGAATGCCTCTTGCACGCCATCAATCATGCATCGATTTTTGAGGATTTCTTATGCAGAGCTTCTCAAAGCCACCAATGGATTCTCAGAGGCTAATCTAATTGGTGTTGGGAGCTATGCTTCAGTTTACAAAGGGATTCTTGATAACGTTCAGATGGTTGTCGCAGTGAAAGTTCTCAATCTTCAGACTAGAGGAGGTTCTAAGAGCTTCATGTCAGAATGCAAGGCACTAAGAGCCATAAGGCACCGAAATCTAATGAAAATTTTGAGCGTTTGTTCCAGTGTGGATTTCCATGGTAATGAATTCAAAGCTTTGGTATATGAATTTATGGCTAATGGAAACTTGGGCAACTGGTTGCATCAAGTTGACGTGGGAGACCATGAGCAGCTCAAAGAACCTAGAAATCTTAAACTAATCCAGAGGCTGGACATTTCCATTGATGTTGCCTCTGCACTTAAGTATCTTCATTGTGGTTGTGAGTCGACAATTATTCATGTTGATCTAAAGCCAAGTAATATTCTTTTGGATGATGAGATGACAGCCCATATTGGAGATTTTGGGTTAGCAAAAATTATTTCTACCGTTTCAAGTGATGTGGCACAGGGTCAAAGCAATTCAGTTACGATAAGGGGAACCATAGGCTATGTTGCTCCAGGTACAAAATCTTTTCAATTTCCTTGGAGTAGAAAAACTCAACTTGCAATAGGAAAAGTAATATATATACACACATACATATATATACAGCTTGCATGGTAGAATTATTTTAGCATAAACAACCATACAAAAAACCATGGCTTTCTACAAAATAGTGGGCACCTACATCTTTTTAAAGAAATTTTTTTTTAATACATATTCTGTCATTTCTGAATGCTCCCAATGTGTGCTTCCACCTGAGTTAATACTCTATGTCGCCTCCTTTGTTATATCTTGTCTTTCTTATTTTTCCTTTTAAAAAATAAAATAAATTATTTATGTAATTCTAGTATGAAAGTTCAGCCGAATCAAAATAGTACATTGTATCTACTTGTTGAAAGAATTATTATATTGCTTCGGAACCAAAGCATTTTCCAATATCGTACTCAATTCTTGGAAACTTGTATATTGATTTTGATATACCTTTCCATGCAAGACTAATTTCTGTTTGCTTCAATGAAAAATAAAATTAAACTATGTGAATCGTAACAATGATCTCACTCAGTTACTCACACGCACCAACAAAAAATATTGTTATTGAGAGATTTGAGGTTAAGGTCATCATACAACATTAAAATTGCCTTACAAAAATTATTATACATATGTCAACTAACTATAGGCTCACTTTTCACACTAACATTAGTAACAATTTGCAGAGTATGGCATGGGGGACATGGCTTCCACACTAGGGGATGTATATAGCTTTGGGATTCTTTTACTGGAAATGTTTACAGGTTTGAGACCAACTGATGATATGTTTAAGAATCATCTAAATCTTCATAACTTCGTTAAGAATGCATTGCCTGATCGAGTGATGGAGATTGTGCATCCATGTATCCTATTGGAGCACAACACAAGAAGGTGGATTAAAGACTGCATGGTTTCCGTTCTACGAATTGGGGTTGCATGTTCAATGGAATCGCCAACAGATCGAATGGAAATGGGGAGTGTTATTAGTGAATTGCATAAGATCAAAAATATTTACACGAATGAAGGGTTGAACCAAAACTAGGAAGTTGGAAGAGGTTTTTAACATGAAAACCAAAGGTGTGTGGCATACCCTCTCGACCGATGCATATGCATACCGAAATAGAGAATGCTATACTCAAAATATATTTTTTATTCGAATTTCTTATCACTAAATACAAAGACATGAATTCCACCTATAGTTATTAATATGGATCTTACTAAATTTGTGACTAGTGGTAAGAAAGTCTGATAAGAAACTCGTTTACATATAACATTACTCTACCAAAATACATCGTTCTTCTTTTGAAGCATCTCAATTTCATTTTCTCATTTTCTTTTCTTTATATTTTTTATTGTAATCTATTCATGTTCCAACTATGAGTAAGTAGACTAAAGTTTTTTTTTTTTTTTTTTTTTGGGGGGGGGGGGGGGGGGGTTTATTTTTTTTTTTTTTTTTTTTTTTTTTTTTTTTTTTTTTTTTTTGGGGGTAAGTGAACTAAGCATGTTTATTTTTTTTACTGATCAAGGTTACTTCCAATGTCCTCCAAGAATGGTTAGCCACTCCCACCAGTCAGTAGAGAGTACAAGTGGTGGCTTTATGTTAATTATGCTTGCCTCTTCGATAAGTGTTCATGTGATCGTTAATCATCTTCATCAGCAACCTTTAATCTATTGCTTAAATAACTCTCACTTTTTCTCCTTTGCTTTGACTATATTATATATCAACAATGTGTTCATGTAAGGTGTTCCAACTAAGATTGTGTGCCTAAATTACCATTTATCCCTTTTAAAACCAGCATTTCGTTGTGCCTTTTCTTTGAAATTGCATGTCAATATAATTCTTGCTCTTTAATGGTTGTTAAACTGTTGTCGGAAATTGACATTTACGCTCACTTTTCACGAAGTGTTATTTGTAAAAAATATTCTCATCTTTGGTCATAACCTTTAAATTAAATGTTCTAGTAATTTCACTAGCGGTCATAGTGACGGAGGTAGAAAACGCTTTCCACCCAAACAAATTTACTTTTCGTTCACACCATCACAAATTAAGGTTTTTGAGACAAAAGTTAAGGGACAATTATTTTTTAGGAACGAAATATTTTTGTTGCTAAAAATATTATTATTATATATATATTTAGTGATGAATTTTTATCCTTTGGGACCAATATTTTGTCTCAAAAAATAAATCTTTTTGAGATCAGATTATTTTATCTCTAAAAGTGCATTTATTAGCAATATTTTTCAAAATTGTCGCTAGAAGTTTGTTTGTTTGTTTGTTTTTTTAAATTTCTTTTTCTAGACAACATTTTAATAACTATTCTTGCAATAACTGAAATTGGTTTGTAAATGTTTTTGTAACAAAATTTTCACTATTAAAAATCCCTAAAAGTATAATCCCTAAAATTCCATTGTGGTGTCATTTTAGTTATTTTATCATATCCAATACTAAAAAATACAATATATATTAGAAAATATTCTCTCCAAAACAAAGACAACGTTGGATTGTGCCAGAGATTAACCTTCTTTGCTTGTCTAATATTCAGTTAATTACTAGTTTCTAAGGTTATACATCATCCAGCCAAAAATAAAATAGACCTACATGCATAGTTGCATCTATTGATATTAATTCCTTCCCTCCACAAGCACTGCTTATTTATTATTCATTTATTTAGTATTTGCCCATATGGGACTCAAACTTGCAATCTCCAATAAAAGAGTCGGACAGTATATCACCGTGGCACTTTTTCTGTGTGGCCATATTTACTAACCTATAAAGTTTTGTTCCAATCCCTATTCATGATTTTATTATGGGCATATATGGTCACTACAACATTTTCTTAGTTTAGTGACATTTGAAAGTGCCACAAAACTATTCTTCTAACGACATTTTTTAGTCTTGTGGCATTTTGAACTAGTGTAATTTATACCCGTGCCACGGTAGATACTAGTGCCACAGTAAATACTTGCAAGTGCCACTGCACCATCATAGCTAAAAACTTTCAATGACATTTTGATGTCATGATAGATACTATTTGTGACACTATCAAATGCCATTAAAAAAAGAGTTAGTGGCACTTCAGTGACACTTGTAAGTGCCATTACACCATTAGGGCTAAAAACTTGCAGTGACACTTTAATGTCATGGTAGACACTATTCGTGACGCTATCAAGTGCCATTAAAGAAGACTTGCAATCTAAAAATTGCCACGATATGAATTTTTAATGACACTTGTTATGCCACAATTGATATTTATAACAACTTCATAAATGCCACTAAATCCAATTCATTTGTGCCATTAAATGGATATAAGTGCCACTGGAACTTATTTTAGTGACACTTTGCAAAGCTACTATCACTACTACAAAATGTCACTTATATGTTCTTTTCATTGACACTTTTAAAAACTACAACTAAGTATGCGTAAATGCCTGTAAAAATTGAATCGATTTTATAAACAATTGAATATTAACTGCCAAATTCTATATAAATTTGACATCCATTCATTCTGTAATATTTTCATAATAATAAGCAAATATTACCACCATAGGATCATCGCATCAAAAAAAAAAAATCAAACCATAATCAATTATTTATTATTGAAATATAAATTTATTTATATTGCAATAAAATTCCTTGCAAAAATTATAAAATATTCTACCACATTAACAAAGTTTAAGCAAAAAATATTTAAAAGAAAATTAGTTCAACCATAAGTTCTAAAAAACCACAGTGATACCTATCTTCCGGAGACACAAATTATCAAAATAAAATCAGTTCCCAAATTCTTAACCTCACTTGTATAAATATTCTCGACTAGCTTCCATAACTTGCGAAATCTGCATCCAAAAGATAAACATATAAAGGTAATTGAAACTATATCAAGTTAGTATAAATTTGTTAATGAAATTAGAATTTACGAAAGAAATATACCACAAATGGAGCAGGCCAAGCAACATGAGTTCCAATAGCTTGTCCAACTGTTTTGACAAGTCCATATGATCGGATCAAGCTGTCATTAGGTTTGACTGACACTTGAATATAGACCTCCCAATAGTCAGGTTCTAGTTCTTCCCCTTCTACTTCTTTAGATGTGTCTGTGCTTTTAAGTACTCCGATTGCAACTGTTTCTGTTGGCCTAATGATACTTTTTAGAACTATATCTCCCACCTGTAAATCAAGATTTAACTACTTAGGTAATTATATATTTAAAATTAATAAATAATATTTAAATAATAAACTAGTACAAAGTGCCAGAGTGAAGATGATCACAACTAAAAGTGATATTCATTTCTCTAGTAGATAAGCAAGCCACATGATTTAATCATTTAATTGATTCACCACACTACAAAAAATATATAAAAGTAACAATCGTAAGTTTTTAGACCATAGCAAACAATAGCTTAAAAATTAATAACAATCAAAGGCACCAATCAACAGCAATCAAAACCATGCCCATTACCAATATCAGGATCCCCTAAACTCAACAATGTAAATCAAATGTAATTGTGAAAAATGACAATCAACTAATTATTTTGAGGGAATCAGATCCATGCGGTAATAAATGATTGAGAGATGACTTGTAGAAACTTCACAAGAAAATTAAAAAAAAAAAAAAAATCCAAGTTTCCACTACAACATATAAGAGTTTTAGAGGCCAAATATTTTAGTCTCTAAAAGTAAAATTTTTGTTGCAAAAGACATTTTGGGACCAATTTCTATCATCGTGAGGACAGTCGCTAAAAAGTCGTCCCAAAAAGTAAAAAATAAGGCTTTTAGCGACAAAATTTTGAAAATGTCACTAATAAATAGACTTATAGGGATAAAATAATTTAGTCTCAAAATGGTTTATTTTTTGAGACAAAAAATTTGGTCCCAAATAGATAATAATTCATCATTAATGTCCAATTTTCGTTGCTAAAAATATAATAATGATATTTTTTGCAACAAAAATATTTGGTCCCTAAAAAATAATTGTCCCTGAATTTTGGTCCCCAAAACCTTAACTTTTTGTAGTGTTCGTTATGTCATGATTTTTACTATATAGCACATTTTGTGTAGATTCAAACAATGGAATTTAGGTCCACAATATTCATTCCTTGGTTAATTGTAAGACAAGTTTTGCATGCTATTCTAAAATAAAGCTGGAAGTAATGTGATATATATGATTAGTTCTTAGTGGGTACCTGAGCAAGAGAGGCATCTTGTATCAATGACAAGGACCATACTTGATGTCGAGCTGCCATCTCAAGAGGACTTGAAATTGTTGTCACCTAACCAAATTTGAACTAATTAATTTTACAAGCGCACACACATAGATATATGTATGTATATATATGTGTAGAAAAACATTAATAACTTATAAATTCTATTTAAAAATTTACCTGGTTAGATGTGTTTGTCAAGTTATTCGAAGCATGCTCAACATGGGAAGCTTTGGACCTTAACTCCAAATTTTCAGCTTTCATAGCATCCATCGTTGTGTCTTGGTTTGCTTTATTGGTGCATGACTATAAGGCAGCTCATGTCAAGGGAAAACATGTAAAAGAATTTGTGAAGAAATATGTGAAAGACAAAAAGAGTATTATTGTGAGCAGCAAGTTGAATCGAGTGAAAGCATTGTCTAACCCTTATAAATCAACTTTGGCAACTTGATGCCCTGGTGCCAAGGCATTTTAGCTCAAGGATAGTCCAATTTAAATCAATGCCAATTTCATCAGCTCTCTAGCTTGTCCTTCTACTCTAAAATAAATAAATAAATAAATAAATAAATTGTCAAATGCTTAATTATATCACCAAAAAGTAAGTATACTACCTAGCAGTGATGCACTATCTTCTGTAGAAGAGATTTGAAGTTTACTACACTAGTTCCTTTAACTCATGTATACTTCTCCATAAAAAAGGCTTTTACAAATTTTTAGCATAACAACTTGTTGCATCTAATGGTTAATCTGATGGAAATGATAATAATGGTTGTTTTTTTGGTTTTTTTTGTTGTTTTTGTTATTTTTTTTGAAAGATGAGTAGAGAGAATAAACTTAGCATGCTGATGCAAAAGTTAGAGATTTCCAGTTTCATTGTTTCATATCTTCTTACCCCCTGATACACAGGTATCAAATTAATTGAATTTAACCTCACAGAATTGAAAAGGATTGTGAATCTTTGACAGCTAATGTATGAAGCAATACCCTCGTTTTAGAATCGCAATTCCACATGCTATAATCCCACCCAACTAGTGATTATCTAAAACATTACCTTTCGTAAACAAAATAATAATAATAAAAAATTATGCATTTACTGATTAATATTATTTATCTTGATCCATAGGCCAAAAATAGAACAACTCTGTAATTTTAAGATAGTTCATTGGA